GCAGGAAGATCAAACAGACAATTTAGCGATAACTTCTTGTTGTCTTCTCCTGCATCGCCGTTATACTCATGTTATTCATGATCCTTCCTCCATGCTTATTTTTCGTCATTCTCGCCTTACCAAGCGAATTCTTCCCCATCCTGCTCAGCTCTTTTTGCGGAATCTCCTCCTTGGAGAGTCTCAGGGGGCCTCACGGAAATTTTTAAGGCTTTCTAGAAATCCTTCTGGAAGCCTCCTTGGCGTCATCTGGGGGCCTCTGGGGGTTTCCTCGGGCAACCCTGCCTCCAACCGCGGTCTCCCTGAACGACCCGGTTGATTTGGAATGCTTCGGAAGGCATCTTGGGGCCATCTTGGGCCGTCATGGGGCTCTCTTAGGCTATCTTGGAACCCTGTTGTGCCGTCTTGGGGTTTTCTTGGACTGCCTGGAAGCCCTTTCGGATGGTTGGGGCGATTTTCGGGGCTCCCAGGCGGTCTCGGATGCCCAGAAGACAGAAGAACAAGGCATTCCTACAATCATGCAAAAACCGTGGAAAATCAAAGTTCTCTGCGTTTTGAAAGCCTCTTGCGGGTCTTCTCTGGGTCGTCTTCGGGCGTCTGGTGGCAGAGGGTCCTGGGGGCCCGGGATTCGGGGGGTCTGATTTCGGGGGGGGTCCTGGGCAATATACATATATGAATGGGAACATCTGTACATGTAGGCAGGGCCGTTCCTCTGTGCTTTTTTGTTTTGTGATCGTCGTCCTACATTACGGGTTATACATGATGGAATAATAGAAGGCACCAGGAAGCCCTTTCCCCGGGATTCTGGCAGGCATCATGCTAGCCCACGTTCGTCCTCCCCTTCCTCCTCCTCTCCTCACCCCCTCTTTCTCTCCGCCCTCCTCTTCCCATCCTGTTCACTTTATCTCACTCCTCCTCCTTCGTTATGATCCCAATTGATTGTTCCCTACCTAAGCTCTGCCTAGAAGGGTTCTTACTCTCTTAGCTTAAAGAGGCCGGGCAGTGGAACACGCCCCGGGCGGTTCCCCCAGTCCCCTGGGAGCGGTTCCCCCCAGTCCCCTGGGAGCTTTAGCTTTAGCTTTAGCTTTAGCTTAGCTTTAGCTTAGCTGTAGCTTAGCTTTAGCTTAGCGTTTCGCTTAGCTTTTCGCTTAGCGTTTAGCTTAGCTTTAGCTTAGCTGTTGCTCAGCTTTAGCTTAGCTTGAGCTTAGCTGTAGCTTAGCTTTAGCTTAGCTGTAGCTTAGCTTTAGCTTAGCTGTTGCTCAGCTTTAGCTCAGCTTTAGCTTAGCTTTAGCTTAGCTGTGGCTTAGCTTTAGCTTAGCTTTAGTTTAGCGTTACTGTTACTACTAATGCTGCTTTCCTAGGTGTTCCAACTCCTAGGTAGGGTCGCACTGGGATAATTTGTTTTATCTCTCTATCTCTCTCTATAGATTTCCCTATCTATTGGGTTTATGTATACAATTACCCGTCCTCGTTCCTCTGGAACCCTCAGGGCCCCCTGGATCCCGGGGCGGGGTTGCCGATGAGCAGGGCGGCTCGACCACCAACTGCGGAGGACGAGCTCGACGAGCCGAGGTTGGCCGAAGGGTCCTGAGCAACTTCTTCTGCTCCCAGCGCACGCCGCCGCCCCAAGCGGCCTGAGCGGCGGACGGGGTTCCCCAATATAGGAACAGCACACGACATAAATATGTTTGCAAGCGTGGGCCCCAAACTGTATGTTTCCCTGGATGGAACAATATATGTGGTGCGGTTTATGTTCTGCAATCTACGTCGTGCAATCTACGACGCGCGCTAGATATAGTTCACGCTATGTGATGCGATCTACGCGGTCAAACATACGTGACGCAATCGATATACAACGTACTACGTTGTACAATTCATTTCTGTTCGCAATGAATTGTCCACTTCACTGCTCGCGCAACCATCCCACCCACCCACCCGGAACTTGGTTTGCAAAAACTCTTAAGACCGTGACGGTGGGTACCACATGGCACTTGACAATAACAACGACGCCGACGACGACAGCGACAACGACGACGACGACGACGCCGCCGACAACGACTACGACGACACCGACGACGTCTCCACCGACTTCGACGACGCCGAAAACGACGACGACGACACCGACGACGACGACGACGACGACGACGCCGACGCCGACGACGACGACGACAACGATGACAACGACGAAGACGATGACGACGCCGACGACGACGACAACGACGACACCGACGACGACGACGTCAACGACGCCGACGACGACGACGACGACGACGGCGACGACGACGACGACGCCGACGTCAACGACGACGAAGACGACGCCGCCGACGCCGACGACGACGACGAAGACGACGGCGTCGTCGCCAACGAAGACGACGACGAGGGAGGAGGGAGGACGACGACGGCGACAACGACGACAACGACGAGGGAGGAGGGAGGACGGCGACGACGGCGACAACGACGACAACGACGACAACGACGAAGAAGGAGGAAGGACGGCGACGCCGACGACGACACCGACGAGGGAGCAGGGAAGACGACCACGACGACGACAACGACGACGACGGCGGCGAAATAGGAGGGATCCACGACGAAACGCCGACGACGACGACGACGAGGGAGCAGGAGGAAGGACGACCACGGCGACAACAACGACGGAAACGACCACGACGCCAAAGAGGACGACGACGACGAACACGAGGAAAGACAGAGGACGACGTAGGCGACGACGACGACGACGCGGGAGGAGGGAGGACGGCGACGACGACGACGACGCAAGAACGCGCGCGCACGCTTTTGTTGAACATCCGTGTTGCGAAACCTTATGTTTTGGTTGGTTTTTTGGACATACGATTTTGAAATCCTTCCGAAACCGGTGCGTTTGGAAGGATTTCGGCATGCACGCGCGACGACGCGCGCGTCTGCGCTTCGTCCCGTTTTTTTCCAGAGGATCTCGCAACGGCACACGCGCAAGGACGTTCGACAGATTTCGTCATGCGCGCGCGCGAAGCCCGTTTGGTAGCATTTGGTGAAAATCTTGAAAACCCATGGTTTTCTTAAGATTTCGCAAGAGCTCGCGCGTAAGCTTTTTTAGCAAATCCGTGTTGCTGAACCTTTTTATATATATATATAAATGTTTTTTGAATCTCGATTGCCAAATCCTTCCGACACCGAAGGTTTTTGAAAGTTTTCGGCATGCGCGCGCGACGATGCGCGCGTGTGCGCTTCGTCTTTTTTTTGTTGCAACGGAGTGTGAACAAATCTTATGTTCGAGCAAAACATGTCACCGCGTTTTTTTTTTTTTTTGTTTTTTTTTTTTTTTTTTTGTTTTTTTTTTTTTTTTTGTTTTTTTCTCCCCCTTCGGAACCTCAGGGGAACCGATACAGGCCCCCCTGGGATAGTGTAAATTCATATTTAGGAGGGACATGTGGTCATACTCATATATGATTTAGATACCCGAAAGGGGGGCGGATAACGCCGGGGTGGTGTTGGAGATATTCTCTTTTCAGAAAAGGAGAATCTATATCGTGCAGTATAACTATAAGCCGTGTGTGTGGTGCAATATATATATATATATATATATATATATATATATATGTATATATATATATATATATATATATATATCGTTATGCATGTTTTATCCAGGCAGTGAACACTTCTGCTACTGCGTATCGTCCGTCATAGCGAGAGCTGTGACACGATCCAAACTTGACAACCCCAGAGTTGCATTAACATGGGTTGGGCGAGTCTGAAGTGACTCGAAGCTGTAAGCGGGCGGGAGCACAAAAACAAGGGGCTACGGAGATAACACTGTAGTGACAATGGGATAGGCCTCTCTCAGCCTTCAACGCTGGCACAAAAGGTTCTTCTGAGTGTTTTTCCTGAAGCGACGAGGGGGGGAATCACTCTCGGCCTTCACGTGCAAACGCAAACAATTCTGCATGCTTTATCCAGGCGGTGAACAATTCTGCTACTGCGTACCGTCCGTCATAGCGAGAGCTGTGACACGGTCCAAACTTGGCAACCCCGAGCCCGAATGGTTCACAGGGTGGCAGTGGGTGGGCGTTGAAAAAGCGACTTCTCTAAGTGGCTAGCACACGCGGGCCTAGAGGGAGCTAGAAGTGTCTGCACCATTAAATCGGCAAGCTTCCTGGGGTATGCGGCGGCGACAGCTGTCGATTTCACCCCTGGAGAGGCCAGCCCTTCTAAGATTATATGTTGTTTCCCAGAAAACGAGCAGCACCCTTGGGGGCCTCGACAGAGGCGTGAGAGCTTTGAAAGGTCCTCGGGGAACACATTGAAAAAGAGAAGTTTGGTTCGCTTCCTCCACCTAGCACCGCATCCACACTGGTCTAGAATAACAAAGCTACCGTTATATTGTCGAGCCAAAAGGATCAGCTCGGGCGCATGCCAATTCGTGGATTGATCGGATGTTCTAACATAGCGGGTACACGTGAGCGAACTAGTATTCTCAACAGCCACAGCGCAGCACGAAAAGTCTGATTGCCAAGCCGCAATCTTTCACGCTGACGAGGGGTCAGATTCTGCCACGGTAGTCCCCATGGTTCATTCTTGGAGCGAATCTTCTGCCCCCCGCGCTCGGCAGCTACACCCCAGGGCCCGCGCGGAGGCGCCAGACTGGCTGCAGCTACCTCGCCTCGCAGGACCTGGGACTGGATGTGCTTGCGAAGGCAGCGGCGGCATAGGTCCTCGTCAGCTCCTCTCGCAGAGTCATGCCCCCTAGCCTGGCAACCCTGTCTTAGGCTCGCTGCGCTGACGGCGCCGCTCCCCGCGAAGCAGTCGACTAGGATTTTTCCCCGCAGACAGCGCCCAGCAAGCGAAGGCTGACAGGGCGAGGGCGTCGCAGCACGATGTCCGCGAGATGTCTTCCGCACAGTTCGCAGACGATGTGGGGCCTCGGGTGGAGCCTGGCCCAGCGTTCCCCTGGCCTGGCCCCCTTCTCGTAGCGGATCGTCGATCTGATCTGCTTCGATTGTCCCCGCCGTTGGACCTCCTCCGCCGCGCGCCAGCCCCTCGACGCATCTATGGAGGGCGCGCTGTGACGCGTCTGGTAGGGGAAGATCCTGTCCTCCATGCCTAGCTCCTTGACGCTGCTCTGGAAGGCGCGCATGTAGGCCGGGTATTCGGAAGTGAACACGAGGCCGTCGGGATCGCCCTTGATCGCCAGCGGCCAAAGCGGCGTCGGACACTGCGCCCACTCGTTGTCGAGGGCAATGCACACGTCCGCCAGGCCCGTCTCCGACCTCTCGATGGATCGTTGGGGAAGAGGAGGATGCTCCAATTCTTGGAGACGCCGAGCGTGGGCCTGATGAGCCCCCTCCTCCTCATTCCCATGAGCCCCCCGGGGTGGCAGTGCGCACTGAGCGAGAGCAAGAGGAACGCGCACATCAGCAGCCCTGGGGCTTCGTCCAGGCGCCACGCCAAGGCGGTCCAGACTCCCAAGGCCCACGCCCGGCGGCTGCGAGCGGGCGCCCGCTTGCGCCGGCCTCGCAGCGCTCGCCGGGCATTGGGCAGCTTCTGGGGGCCCCACTTGCCGAACTCCGGCCTCGAGTACATGAGGTCCGCTAGGGCCTGCTCCCCTTTGGCCGCCTCGTGGCCCTGGAAGAACTGGTAGTCGAAATGCTGGGAGAGCGCCCTGTCCACTTGGGCGGCTGATCTCAGCGCCCAAGCCGGGGGGTGGCCGCAGTAGTCGGTGAACTCCATCACCTCCCTCTCGCACCGCTCCCGCTCTGGCTTCGTGACGCTGCTGGCATCGAGGAAGTTGAGTCCGCCGTCCATGGCTCTGGTCACCGTCTCGGAGAGGAACTTCGACCGCCGCTGGCGAGTTTTCTTCCTCAGTGCCGCCGCCCGCTTTGGCACGGCGCGCTTGCCTCCGCTCTGCTCGCTCGCGGTGCTGCCGCTGTCGTCGACTTCGTTGCAGCAGCCCGCGTCCATCTGCTTCTGCTTGCGCCCTGTAGCGGATGGTCGCAGAGCTGGCGGGCACAGCTCCAGCCTCGCCCCCCGCGCGGCCCGCGGGATCAGGCGCGAGGCCAGGCTCCCATGGGAGTCCTCGCGGGCCAAGCGCGTCTCTCCCCTGGGGCCGGGGTGAGCGCGGGTCGCGCAGGCCCCTCGGTGGATCATCCTCGGACAGAACGGCGTGGGCCAAGATGTTTACGGAGGGGCCGCCAGGGGCGGAAGCGGGGGAGGAAACGGATGGAGCATTACTGTCAGGACAATAGAAGGGAGAGGGCTTCTCATTGTCATTCTTCTCCGCCCCCCAAAAATAGCGAAACCTGGCGTCTAGCTCGTCGACCATCAGATTGCTTGAATCGGGCCCGCTGAACACCCTGGAACCCAGGTCCGAAAAACTGAACTCTGAGGGGGTCCAGCGGACCAGAAGTTGTATGTTCCTAGAGAGGCAATAGGCCTGGATGCGTCGGATGATAGCGAGCAGCCTAAATTCGCGACACCTGCTACGACTGACAGCAAGGACGACTGACATCTTATCACCTAGAACCAACTGTCTCAAATCGTGGGCTCTCTGGAAGATAGCCGAACGCTTGACGGCCACAAGGGCCGCCCGCGCTTCCTTCAGAAGAGTGTTTTCATCGAACAACCACTTACGTGCATAGCAGGTGCGCCAAAGGCTGGACGAGAGGAGCCTGGCTGGCACCTCGAACTGGAATCTACCGTCCAGGCGCCCTCGGCTTTGGGTCTGCGTCCGAGTCGGACACTTGCCACTTGCCCGACGTGTCGCGCCAGAAGCCTGCGGCCTCCAAGGCAGACTCGCGGGCTCCGCAGCCACCAGACCGCTTGAAACGTGATCGCTCCAACGCCCGGCCCACGGCGGAGACATCCTCCGGGCCCCACATGGCCTTGGCGATGCCCATCCCCTCGACGGAGCTATCAGTCTCGAAGACCATCGGGTTCCACGGCCGCGTCCTGTCGCTCTCCAGGAACAGCATGAGCTCCTTGAACGCACGAAGCTCCTGCAAGCACTCGTCCCAGAGGTAGCCGGCCCCGTCGCGATACTTGTGCATGAAAGCGTACGCCGTGTGCCACACCGAGAGGCATCCTCGGCTGGCGAGGCCGGCGAAGGTGCAGTGACCGACCGCCGCCTCCAGTGCCCAGCCCGAGCATTTTGGGCGTCGAAGGAGAGCCTCGATGGCACGGCGGATCAACCGCCATCGATCCGAGGCCACTCGCGATCGGAGGCCCCCGCCCAGCAGCTCGACGCCCAGCGTCTTGCACGTCTCGTCGGTCACCGCGGACTCGTGCAACACTAAACCCAATTCGGCGAAGTGTCGCTGCAAAGACGAGATGGCCTCCCCGGCCTCGTAGCGCCTGGTGTGCAGGATCCCGAGGTTGTCGACGTGCACGTAGTGCTGCGCTTGACCTGCGGCCGTCTCTGGCTGCAACACCGTCAAGGGCGGCCCTCTGTCATGGAGGGGGGCCCCCAGGGGAGTAGAGGCGCCTCGCAAGGTCTGCAGCTCGTTTATACGCTGGGCAAACCAGAGACTCCAGGTGAACCCCATCGGCAACGCAGCCCACACTGGATACACCAGCGAGGTTCTTCCCAGGCGCCGACCTCTCGTCACAGTCCCCTCGAGCCCGAAGACGTGCACGGGGGCCGCAGGCAGGCCGAAATGCGCGGACATCTCGGGCCTCAGCCTCAGGCAATGGAAGCAGTTCGCCACGTCCGACGTGCCCGCCACGAGCCTGAGCTTGCTGAGGTACTCCACCGCCTCCGGGGGCTGTGGCGACATGCTGGCCGGCAGCGCCACCTCGCCTCGGCTGAAGCCCTCGGCCGTCAGCAGGCCCACCCCGAGTGGGTCAGCAAAAACCTCGTTCACACGACGAGCGTCGACGATCAATCGGAGCGACTTGCCATCGCTCTTGAGAACACAGAACAACCCTATCCGACACTTCGGGCTCATAGTCCAATCGACCATGCCGATGTCGAACAGCATCCGAACTAGACGCTGGTATTCCTTCTGGTGGAACTTTAATTCGGGGTCCAAGTGCGGCTCGGTCTTGGGCGAGACTTCATCTTGCCTCAGCATGCGCTCTTGATAATCCAACAAGTATGTAGCGACCTCCTGTGGGGCTACCTCATCAGCATGAAGGGCAGCTCCGAACGGACTTTGGCAAGGAAATGCGGTCGAGCTTGAAGGGCGCGACACGAGTGGTGGTCACTCCCGCCTCATACGGTGAGTGGGCGCGCAGCATCCGCTTGAGGGCTGCCGCCGCTAAGGGAGCGAAGTCCGGGCGCCGGCCCGATGCCAATCCTCGAACTCGCTCGCGAAGATGCCGCTGGGCATCATCCATGGGAAGGGGCATCTCGCCCGCTCGATGCCCTGCCAGCCAATTAAGTGCACTGATCGCCTCATTCGCCACTCCGATCTCCAGCTGCTCTCTGCGCCTTGCCCTCGCGGCTCCCGCCGGGGCGGCCGCCGGCGGCGGCGGCGCGTCCAGCAGGGGCGCAGGGGGGAAATCTCGTGGCCCTCGAATGGCCGCGACGCGGCCTGAGGCGGCCCCTAGTGCTCGGCCGAGGTCGGGGCTCTCCTCGGCCAGCCCCCTGCTCACGCCGCAGCGGGGGGGGCGCCAGGCCCGCGGCCTTTGTCGCCGCGTCCGCGCCCGCCCCCCGCCACGACCTTCCCCGCCATGACCTCCCCCGCCGTCACCTCCGCCGTCAGCTCCGTCACCAGCAGAGCCACTGGCGCCGTGCTCGGCCGGAGATCCACGCAGCCCGCCAGCATCGGTCTCTCGGTCCTCCTTGGCCGCCGGGACACGAAGCTGCGCATCTCGGGGCCGACTGCGTCCGCGGCCAGCGTCTGGCCAGTGTAGTAGCGGGTCAGGTCCCGAGCAGGCTCGGTTGGATTGGCGTAGGCCGCCACGATGCCCGCCAAGCGCCGACGTATCGCCTCGACGTACAGTAGGACGCCGATGTTGTCCTGGCCCGCCGTTCCCGCAAGCCAGAGGGACTTCGCGAGGGTCCGCATCTCATGTGCGACCCGGCCCGCCCCGGCGATCCCACTCTCTCGCATCCACTTGCGCGGCCATAGGCGAGGGGCCCCTCCCGTCTGCAGCATGCGCTTGGACATCACGAGCGCAATCGGGCGGCCCTCCATGTGCTGAGACTCGTTGGTCTCGCTACTGCCCTCCTGGCCCACATGCGCGGGGTCGTCGAGGCCGCTGGGCGTCCGCAGCACCTGCGCGCCGCCGTCGATCTCTGTGCCGATGGTGTGTCGGCCAGTGGGATCCGCCAGCACCCAGACATAGCCCTTGGCCACGTCCGTGGCAGCCGCGGCCGCCAGCTGGCCCGACGGCGCGGCGGGCGGCGGAGTCAGCGGGGGGCGGCCGTCGCCCCCCGTGCCCAGAGGTCTGGAAGGATTGTTTTTTTAGTCCGGTGATTATGTTATGTATGTTGGTCATTATTTATAGTAATAGTCCCCAAACATATTCGTGTTACATGGTAGTTCGTTAGTTATATACAGTTATTGTTTTTTTTGCTCTGCGCGAGAATGACTGACGGTTTGAGCCAATATGGCCAGTGGATGCACGATCGCGCACGCACCTTCTTGGGCCATAACAAGAAAGCACGGCTCGAGGAGGATGGAGGAAGAGGTCGAGGAGGATGAGGGCGAGGTCGAGGGGGCGAGAGAAGGGGGAGATGGAACGAAGCCGTGGAAAGAGGGGGCACGAGTGTGCGTGGGCCGTGACATGCATGTAACGCTTGACTTTCGAAAACCTTTCCAGGCCCCAGGGCTGCCCAGGGGCGAAAATATCTGCCCGCGGGAAGGCGCGACGCACAGGTCATCAAAAACCAAGCGTTGTGTATTATGGGGGCAATTCCATGTGCGCATCTTGCGCATGGTTGTAGAAGAGGATGATCGGGGGGGGGGGGGGGGGGGGGCGAAGGGGGGGGAATATGATAAGAACGAGAACGAGATAAAGTAGGAAAGGGAGGAGGGGGGAGGACGATAAAAGGAGAAAGAGGACAGGGAGGGGGGGGGAACAAAAAGGGGGGTGGGGGGTGGGATGAGTAATCGTAGTAGCAGTAGTAGTAGTAATAGTAGTAGTGGTAGTAGTAGTAGTAGTAGTAGTAGTAGTAGTAGGAGGAGGAGTAGGAGGAGGAGGGGGGGGAGGAGGAGGAGGAGAGGAGGAGGGGGGGAGAGAAAGAGGAGGGGGGAACATGAGGAGGGATAAGACGATTACGACTAATAATAATAAGAAGGCAATGACCAGTAATAACACGAAACGTAAGAATAATACTGCGACGAAGACGACGAGAATGGGGAGGGGGAGTTGGATGGGGGAGGAGGAAGATGAGGAGACGCATGAAGGGGGAGGAGACAGGAGGAGGAGGAGGTGGAGTAGGAGAAGGAGCAGGAAACGCATGAAAAGGAGGAGAAGGAGGAAGAGAAAGATGACGACACGCAGGAGAGGAGAGCCATCACAATTTCCACGCGACGACGGGCCGCAGGTCGTCTGTACTGCACCTGCGCCCGTGATTGACGCGCGGCGGCGGCGGCCGCCGCCGCCGCGTCTGGCTGGCCTCATCGGCTCCTCTGGCCGCGAGTCCTCCTGCGCCTCCTCCGCCGCCTGCCTTCTCCGCCTGGGCTCTTGGCCACGACCCGCGCTCCTTGGCGCAGTCCTTGCTCGCTCGTCGGAGCGCCCCTGGATGAGTCGGTCCTCGGCGTACCTCCTTTCACCAGCGATAGTGATCCGTTGTGCCACCTGACTGTGATGCCATCCTCCGTGATGGCACTGATGTTGCCCGTCTTGCCTTTGAAGGCGACGTCGTCGCCGACGCAGACGTGGCGCTCGAATCTGTGCACGAGGCCGCCCTCGTGGGAACAGATGCACGGCCGCGTCGAGCAGAGACGGGAGGCAAGGTGGACGTGGGCGACGGGGGGGGGGGGAGGATGATGAGGGGGGTGAGGAGGACGGAAGAGGATGAATGGGGATGATGGGATGAGGTGGAGGGGGAGGCGGAGGAGTAGGAGGACGAGGAAGAGGAGCAGGATGATGAGATGGAAGGGGGGAGTGGACGAGGAGACGGAGGAGGATGACGGGGAGGGCGAGGAGGGTCAGGATGAGGGTGCGGTTGGTACCGATCATCGATTGTCACCGCTAACGGTGAACATCGGTGAGTGTCGGTGACCACCGCCGTTGTGCGATGGACGGGGATGCAGTGCGAGCGAGGGTCCTGCGCGTCCGCTGCCCTCCTCGGCAGCTTCCAGCAGTCTGGCGGCACCTCCCCGCGCCTCCGCGCCGACTCGCCGCCCGTGTACCTCTCCAGGGGCAGCTCGGCGGCCTGCTCAGCCTAAGAGGAGAGAGGCGAGAAGGGGGCAACGCATAGGGAACGCGCGAGGAAGGATTGATGACGCCAACCGTGTAGTCGGGGTAGGTGTAGTCGGAGCTGTGGCTGGAGCCCTCCACCTCGCTCAGCGCAGTGCCTCCTCCATGAGCACCCTCGCTGCACTGGCTGCTGCGCGCCGCCTCCGCCGTCTGCATGGGCGTGCTCCTTGGCGCGGGGCTTCGACCACGCTGTCCATCATCGTCCGACGCAGGCACCGCCGTGCGCACCGAACACCTGGAGCTGCTAGCAAGTATCTCTGTCGGACTTGGCAGCTCAGTCGGAGTGGGTATCTGAGTCGGACTGGACGGCGGCAGCCTCGACGCGGGCTCGGCGCGGCACCCCTCCGATTTCACCTCTGTCGACAACAGGGGGCGCATAGAGGAGGAGAAGGAAGCGGGTGAGGATGCTGATGATAAGGATGAACCTGCGGAGGCCGATTACACCGACGAGAATGAGGGGTAACGAAGATTATCAGGACTAACCGGAACATTACTAGCATATGACAATGCGAGGAGGAAGAGGACGAGACGGATTCGAGTGACGGGGATGACCTCAACGTCGTCGTCGACGGCCGCCGCCAATGCCATCTGCACGTCCAACAAGTATTGCCGATCGAGCATCTCATCGGTCTCTGCCACTAGATCCCCAGTTGCCGTGTCCACAGCGGCTAGCTGTCTCCTCTGCCTATCCTTCTGCATGTCGAGCAGCTCGCCTCTCAGAAGACGTTCTCGTAGTGTTGCTTCGCGATGCTGATTGGCCGCGGCCGCCATCGCCTTGGCAGATCGCCGCGTGTCCTCCTCAGCCTTTGCCGTGTAGGTGCGCTCCAGGCGCTCTGCCCGCCTGGTGTCGCGCTCCTCCTGCTCCCGCTCCCTCTTCCGTGCCCGCAGCAGCTGCATTGCAGCCGCGAGGCGATCTGCGTCGACGGCGTTGGCGTCGCCGTCCACGTCTACGATGTCTGATCGCCATGTCGCCCGCGCCATCCTCCGCGGCGTCGTGCTCCTCCTCCTCCTCCTCCTCCTCCTCCTCCTCCGATCAGCGCTCTCGCCATCGTCGCGTTCTCGGCGGCGGCCTCGACTCTCGCTCCGCCGCCTAGCCCTCCTGCCTGTGGATGAGCGGGGCTGGGTGGGTATATAACGGGGGTGGGGAAGAGTGGCATCGGGATGGCGAGTGAGAGGATGCCCACCTTCTGGCCGAGAGCCAACCACGCTGGCGCTGACCAGGATGAGCCCCCGCCCGCTGCGGCCAGATGGCATTCGCCGCGGCGCCCCCCCGTCTCCACACGTGGCGGGGGGGTGCGCCCGAGGCGCTCGAAGCCCAAGTGGCTGTGGGGGCAGCGGGTGGATCCCTCGACCGTCCCTCTCGACGTGATCGGCAGCCCCCTCCTCCTCCCTCCTCGTCGTCGGTGTCCTCATCGGCATCCGTGTCATCATCCCCCCTCGTGCTCATCTTCCTACATGCCTCCTTCATTCCCCGTCATCCGCATCCCCACCTCCTCCAGGCCGTCACGTGCTGGACATATGTCGGTTGCGACCCCACGCGCGCGCCCCCCCGTTGCAACCGAGCCAGGCCCGAAGAGTCAGCGGAAACACGGCTGGCCTGTGACGGGTTACGATGGTGATGAGGTTGTTGATGGTGGTAGTGATGATGGTGGTGTTGGTGACGCGCATGTTGATGATGTTGTTGATGATGATGGCGATGGCAACGATAATACAGATGCTAATGTTGATTGTGATGGGTACGATGCTGGTGTTGATGATGCCGATGACGATCGTGATGGTGGCTGCGTTGCTGATGAAGCTGCTGAATGTACACGTGAGGATATTGATGTTGATGAGGATGGTGATGATAACGATGATGGCGGTGATTGTGATACCGATGGTAGTGGCCATGATGATGACGATGCGGGGATGATGGGTTGATCAGGAGCCCGATGAGGTCTGGCCAATAGAAATAATTCCACTCCCGGGGTCGCGCGACGGACTGCTGCACGGGAGGAGCAGCATATAAAATATGGTGGTGACAGGGAAGGGCAGGAGCCCCATCAATAGGGTTAGGCCTGATTGGGGCGATGGTGGCTGGGGGGTGGACAGGGGGGTGACATGCGTCTTATGTTCGCCAGACTTGTCGGTGTGCGCTAGCATCTACTTCAACATGTGCATGCGAGCGAACGCTGTCGGTGATGTTGGCCGACCTGTCATCTGCGATTGTGTAGTTCACGTGTGATATATAGTGCCGGTATACTAGTGATGCGACGCGGGTCACTGGCGCGTCTGTGTCTAACGACCCATATCCATGCAGCCCCCGACAACGTTCGCCCGCCCGAGACACCCCCAAACCTCAGCGCGCGCTCATGGAGCGCCCGCTGTCAGACAACAGAACGCGAACCACGATGTGCGCCAGCATGGCGCAGAAGTCGCTCGGGTAGTGCGCAGACGAACTCATGGCAGACCTGCGGCCGTTGTACCACCCCTTCTTGCTCCACCCAGTCGCACCCGTACTCTTGAACCTACGGCCCACTGGAGCTAGTGGGCGAGCGCGGTCACCCAATCTCGATTGCGCATCCTTCTTAGATTTGACAAGCTGGCGTAGAGCTGCATCGTCACCCGTAGCCCACAGTACTGTTGGTTTCAGAGTAGGTGCTCCCCAGCCTCCCATCCAGAAGAAGTATCGTTTAGCCTGGACTCGGACCATTGCCTTGGCAACGGCTGCGTCGTGAAAGTACATGGGGCCGAGCGGCTGCTCGATCGCGACGTAGACGCCCCTACTAGTCGCCAGGCAGACGATGTACGACCTGCAAGGGGTGACACCACAACGCGCGACCGCCACAGTCCCTAGACTCGGAACTGCACGAGCTCATCGGCGTTCACCGTGTTCGGTGATCATCGGTGAGCTTCGGTGAGCCCTGTCCCCCGTCCCCCCTCTGTACGTGTAGATTAAAACCAGACCCCGCACTGTGCGCATTTATTTACCACATACATTGCTATCTACATAGTGTGCGTGCCCCCCGAGACGTGTTCAAGTCCGCCCGCAGACGTGATGTACGCCGTATAGTTAGCTTGGCGCACGTCACGTCTCGAAGTGTCCCCCTCAGTGTTCTTGCGCGTACGTTTGGTGTGTCCAACTGCTGCCCCTATCCACGTGCTGCACTGCGGCGCCATGTGGCAGACGCCGTTAGGTACCACAGCGCACACAATGTACAAGCAGTAGAGGAGACCCACCTGTGGCCATATGCAACCATCTCCCACCATATACCATGAGGATGAAAGGGGTAGTTAACACGGGTGGGGGTGAGATTGTTGCCACGGGCGATGGCGAGATGAGAGATGCACATGTTGACGAGGATGGCGGGGAATATGGATGACGATACACGGGTGAGTAATATGATGGTATGATGGATGGTGTGATGATTGTCTACCCTTAGTTTACTATCCCAGGTGCAACCAACGTGTAGATATCCTGATGTGGCCCGTCGCACTTGTCGTACGTCAGCGCCCTGTACCCCAGTATCGAAACACAACGGGACGCTTCGCCTCGCCCTGAGAATACTTCCAGAAAAGCGGTGGTGCGTGGGATCGATGGCGCGTGGTCAAGTAGAAGGCGAACTGATGACAGCAGCATTCGCCCACCATGCTCCAGAGTTGTGTCCTCTACCACCCCTTCAGTCCGAAGGCGAGCAGCTCCATCGACAGCCCGCGCCATACCTGCACCGTGATGCGGAAGGCCAGCGCGCCCCAGACCGCAACGCTGCAGGAACACAGTGATGATCAGATAGGGCCAGATATAAGCACGAGACATTCCTGGCCCACGAAGTGTTCGCAGATCTGTAACTGAGCTTGCAAGTGAAACAACGAAAACACCCTGGTCTCGAACCGCATTCTGTGTGCATACACTGCCACGTCTCTCAGCAGTGAATTTAGTGACTCGTCCAGGAAACACGTATACATCTTCGGCGACCCATGGTCGCTGATCCTGGAGCAGTTTTTGCACGCCGAGGTGAACTCGGAAACCTTCACGCCCAGACTAGCCCACGTCCAAACCTGACCCCACCCCCCTGGCAGACACGGCTGGTGCATCGTCCAGGCATTTCCGATGTCGTTGTTTTGCTTGGGGGAGACCGAGCTGCAGGACAGCGACCTGCTTGGGGCGACCGCGTCTAGCGGAACATTGCGCGTGCGATGCATGTCGCCGATGCGCCTGCTATTCGCAACACCCAGTAGTGGTCCAATACTCGGTCATCGTCAATCCTCCTCGTGGTAGCCTTCTACGTTGCTGTGCACCTACATCGTTCTACACGCCAGCGTCGCCCAATCCCCGCCCCGCGCCCAACGCCCACGCGCCCTGTCCGACTTCCCCTCCCCCCGCCCAGCCGCGCCCGCAGCCATGGGCACAGCGCGCATGTTGGGGGGGGGGAGGAGTGTGGGCGTTAGGCGGGACATGGATGGGGCGACGCAGTGAGCGAATGCGCCCAGCATGATCGACAGAGGACCTAGGCGAGGCGAGGAGAGGAGGGATGTGGGAGGGAAGGAGGGGAGGTAGGAGGCTGGGGAGGGAGGGAGGGAGGTAGGGAGGGCGGGTTTGATTTGAACTATCCGCTAACAAAAAAAAAAAACGCACGCCTGTAGATCAGGTGGCACACCAGGTGGTGCTTAGGCGTGTACGCGATGTGAGCCAGGCGGCAGCTCTTTAGGTGCACCCACATTGCCATCAGCATCTTGCGCATACTCTCAGGCGGCACGACGCACGTATGGGTGCGCATCTCTTCCAGAAATGTCCCCAACGACAGCCCAGCATCAATCAGGGCGTCGCCATACGCAGTCCGACCACCGTGTTTACTAAGCAGCTCGTTGGCAAATGGCACCAGGTATCCTATCTCGGCGGCCTTGAATGACACAGAGCACCCAGGATGCATCCAGTCCTGCGGTCGGGGGGGAACTCGCTCGAACACTTGCAGACGTTGCGTCCCGCTCGTGCCTGTCGACCCCCATGGCTCTTTATATCCCGTGTCCCACCGTGTGCATATGCAAACGCGTGCGCATCCATATACATGTATGTATATATCTATAGATATATAGCAGGCGCGCCCACGTCGTAGTTTCAGACTCGACCGCCGGCCTGCGTAGTTTTACACAGAACATGTAGGTGCATGTGTGCTACG